TCAGTTATCGCGAGTTCCTAACGCATCCGTCATCAATTTTTACCGCAACGGTAGTGGTAACGTTCATCGTTGCGGGATTCCTGATTTGTTGGTGGTACAAAAGATCTAGACGACCTTGGCTGACGCCTAGGAGAGAGTCATCGCTCGAAGCGACAGTCATCGAGGGCTGATTAGGTTAAGAAAAATTGTAATGTACCTATTGAAATGTACCTGTATGAAATGTCTATAATCGGAGAAGAAAATTATCAAACTGATAATTTTCTTCTCCCTACAGGGAGGAATGTTATGCCCCACAAAGTGGAGCATCATTACTTAATTATTCCGAAATATGGGCGAAATATGTAGCACATATTTCGGAATCGAAATTAGGAAATATTCAATAAAAGAATATACGTGTCTTTCAATGCACGTATATTCGTAATTATAAGTATGCCAGTGGAACGTGCATCAGCATTTCCACTGGACTCATTCGNCGGAATCGAAATTAGGAAATATTCAATAAAAGAATATACGTGTCTTCCAATGCCCGTATATTCGTAATTATAAGTATGCCAGTAGAACGTGCATCAGCATTTCCACTGGACTCATTCGCATGGTGTTATCATAACACCATGCAGATATGAGGCAATCGCCAGAACGTCATGGCCTCTCGATGTAATAAATACTCGAGAGACCATTGTCTCGAGGCCAGTAACTCGACCGATTCTTATCACGGTTCATCTGATACCTTCAGTATCGGAATGAACAGTGAATTTGTATTTCCAAGAGTTTAGATAAGAATAATAAAAGAATAATATTCAGTATTCGTTTCGCGAGTGTTTATTCCCAAATAATCCGGACCCAACCGCTCGGGACTCTAACAAGTGTCTGTGTTGGCGAAAGGACACAACTTCGCTGTTGCCCCTAAAAAGGTCCCCACCGAGGAAATCATCAGTCGTCCCGAGACAGCGATTTACCATCTTCCTCAGGAGACCAGCAATGAGATCCGGAGGCAGTTGTCTAACATTCTCGACAAGGCCACTCCCCCTGGTGACAATATCAGCAGGGACGAACGCCTCGCACTGCGCAGTCTAAATGAGAATAATGATCTGATTATTCTTCCGGCAGACAAAGGCAATGCCACGGTAGTTATGGATAAAAACGACTACTCCGGTAAGCTCAGTACAATGTTGGGTGACTNTCTCGACAAGGCCACTCCCCCTGGTGACAATATCAGCAGGGACGAACGCCTCGCACTGCGCAGTCTAAATGAGAATAATGATCTGATTATTCTTCCGGCAGACAAAGGCAATGCCACGGTAGTTATGGATAAAAACGACTACTCCGGTAAGCTCAGTACAATGTTGGGTGACTCCAGAGTTTACGTTAAACGTAGGAAGGACCCTATCGTACAATTGAGTGAAAAACTGCTGATCTGCTGAGGAAGGCTGGTTTCTCGGCTGACCTGACGAAATTCCTCACCCCTAAAGAATCCTTTCCTCCTAGACTCTATAGACTCCCCAAAATTCATAAAGAGTCTGTTCCTCTTCGTCCCATTGTCAGCAACATTGGAGCGTCAACTTACCAGCTGGCCAAGTTTCTCACGAAACCACTCCAAAAGTTGACTGGCCTGAATGGTTCATACATTCAGAACGCACTGGATTTCGTCAACAAACTGAGAAATCTCCGGACTTCTCCAGATGATATCCTAGTGAGTTTTTATGTGGAATCACTCTTCACTAACGTCCCAATCCCAGAATCCTTGGAAATCATCAAGAAATCCAACAACGTCTCTTTCCAATTCCTTCCCCTGATTGAGCATTGCTTGACTTCTACATACTTTCAGTTCAAAGGAGAGTACTATGAGCAGAAATCGGGAGCGGCAATGGGTTCTCCCATTTCCCCGATTATTGCAAATATATTCATGGATCACTTCGAGAACGAAGTATTGAAGTCAGCACCTCAGAAACCTACTGTGTGGTTCAGGTATGTGGACGATACCTTTGTCATCTGGCCACATGAAAAGACTGCTCTAACTCAATTTCTGGAGTTCTTGAATACTCAGCACGTGAGCATCAATTTCACTATGGAAATTGAACAAGATAGATGTCTTCCATTCCTAGATGTCCTGGTTCGACGCAACGAGGACGGCACTCTAGGCCACCAAGTATATCACAAACCAACCCACACAGATAGGTATCTCAATGCTACCTCCCATCATCACCCCTCCTAGAAGAATTCCGTTATCAGCTCCCTAATGTATAGAGCACTTACAATCTCTCAACCCTCCAACGTTGACAGTGAAGTTTAACATCTTGAGATAGCTCTGACCAAGAATGGATATAACATCCAACAAATTCGGAAGGTCAAGCAGAAGCTACAGAGCAAGCTCTCATCTCCCGAAGAGGAGACTAATCCTGAGGAAAACCAGGAAAGACCAAAAGTGGCCCTCCTCCCCTATCTGAGAGGCACAACAGAATCCATAAGTAGAGTACTTGGCAAACATAACATTCGAACGATCTTCCAGCCTCCAAAGAAGATCGGACAGATGCTGCCAAGTGCAAAGGATCCAAGACCACCTCTGAGCACACCAGGAGTGTACGAGATCCCCTGCTCATGCGGGAAAGTGTACATTGGAGAAACCGGGAGGAAGATCAGTACACGGATCAAGGAACACCAGCGGTGCTCCAAATACGGTCACTTAGAACAGTCTGCCCTGGCTGAACACTGGATGGACACTGGACATACTATCCAGTACGACCAAGCCAGAATGTTGGCCAAATCTCAAGGGTATTTCGAAAGGAAATACCGAGAGGGTTTGGAGATCCATAAAAACCCTAACTACTTCAACAGGGACAGAGGATATCAAGTGAACCCCATTTGGAAAACCGTGCTCCCGGTTTTTAATTGACCAGCTGATCAATTAAACCCATATGATTGGCTGACCACCCCCCCTTCCCCTTCCCACACCACCACAAGGGAAGGCATATAAGGACTACCCCTAGACATCGGAGCTCAGAATCGGAGCTCATAGCCCTGAAGATGCAGACTGCAATGTTTGNGCGGCATCCATCCGGAAGCTAAAGATTTCATTAATCATGGCCGCGAAAGCCTCAAAACTAAGATCAATAATCCCATCATTCTGATAGCTTGCGATAAATTCTATGCAACCGATTCTCAATAAATTCTATGCAACCGATTCCGATCCAATAGTGTATTTCACTCACCCAGTCCCTTTATATCGGTCACTTCCACAAATAATGCATAGATTTTTTCCACTTTCATTCACTGTCGAGACATTCGACTTCTCCTGTGGTCCCGTCATCCGGCCTTTTTTTGGCGTATTCTCTTTATTAGATTCATTCTCCGCACATTGACTTGATTTCACTCCTTGAAGCACCTTCCTCTTTCACAGTTTACCCTTTTTTTTGTAGTTTACGTATTAACGATAACAATCTGATGTCATATGATAGGATAAAATTTTGTTCGAAGGAATGTCTTTAATTTTTTCATATACCAAATCGCAATCTAATTCGGCGAGGAATCGCATTCAATTACTACCATGAAGGGTGCCGCTCAGCTTGCCCACTGCACAGCCACACATGATTCACGTATTTCGATCACACCGATTCATTTTTTATCACTATAATGCCACCATACACGTATGAGGAATTGCAAGAGCTCGGAAGAAAGTGTTGTTTATGTTGTCCCTGTAATGTCCAAAATTTTGTACCAGAAAACTTTCAGGCTAGAATAATTTTATGTGAAATAATTAAGAACCAAACCCACAATTGTAAACTAAATTGAGTACATTTCATCACTTGAACTCAATTAAAAATTCCAAAGACATCGGGATCGAGTTCAAAAGCGACGAAATAGTACACTCAGCATGCCCCAATTACCCAATACTAAGATTCGCACGCGAAAGAACGATTGAAAACCGATTAATTGAAACCCCAAAAACCGAATGAACTACTTCCCCATAAAAATCAAAAGAGTGGGAAAAGTCATACTGTAGCGCCTCGCTACATCCTAACTGAGGAGACAGTCTGACGTCATCCTCAGGCATTTAGTATTTCGTTGCTGTCCTCTCACGGATGCACCAACACAATAATAGAGGATTACATTTCGCGCCTCTACCGAATTATTCTAGCACGGCGTCCTATCGCACAGGAGCCGTTGGCAGTTGATCGGCATCCGTTGTATCGAGCGCAACTGAGCATCAAATCAATATTCATTGTACTTGTTGAGACTGACGCTTCGGCGAATAAATATATTATTAAATTATTTATTCGTTTAGTAGTGATTTGTTACTCCCGACCATCGCTAATCCTACATTGGTGACCCCGACGTGATATTCGCGTTTAATTAATTAATTCAAAGGCAGTGCAACAAGTGCCTCGCGAGTGCGCGTGCCTTTACAATGAAATTTTTTTCTCATATCTCGCGCGTTTATTTCACCCTGTTACCGGTGGTTAACGTCGCGAGCATTTTTCCCAGGCAGCGGCTGTCGTCGCGAGTGCATAAAATCAATCTAAACTTGCAAATTAACGCATAACGTTTTTCGCGTGTGGCTTTATTTTTCAATGCCCAATATGGCGTCGTGGGGGGTCTCGGTTTAGCGTCGTTGAGTCGGTGGAAAATCGATTCTCGGCGTCTTCCTCATCGTTATACGCCCCGCCCACAACGCGCGCGCACACCCCTTCGGGTAATTGCGTTTACCCTCGGTGATTTTCGCACCTTATTCCCCGCTCTACCTGTTCTCCAGCGTTTTCTCTCGCGGCAAGTGAGTGAACAAGTGGGGATACTTGAGGGTTGGTCGTCCGTCTCTCTCTATCTCGCTGGCACATTGCTGAGCACCCTATAGACGCTGTGCTGTGCTGGTGTATGTGAAGACTTTAACGACTTCGCAAGAGTGACGACACGTGCNAGAGTGACGACACGTGCTAATTTTTTTTTTTAATTTATCGATTACCGCGATTTTTCGGTAAATAATTGTCAAGTAATTTTCGTGGTTCATGATGCCGGGTGTCCAGGAGCTCCCCACACACAACGCATTTTTAGCAGCTGCAGCCGTGATGCAACCTAAGCTCGTCGCAAGGCCATTCAACCCTGATAAACCTCAGCTGTGGTTTGCTCAACTGGAGACCCAGTTTACCGATCTTGGAATAGTGACGGAGATCGATAAGTATAATAAAACTGTTCCGCTAATTGATACGGTCTATGCAGCAGAGGTCGAGGATCTCATTATTGCTAGACCAGTTAATACCCCATTCCAAACATTGAAGAATGAATTAATTCGATGTTTTACCACGCCAAGATCAATGAATTTATTACGACTGCTGGACAATGAGAATCTTGGAGATCGTACACCCTCGAAGCATCTTAGGCATTTAAAGGCTCTGGTTCCAGGTATCGATGAGGAGGTCTTAAAGACACGCTGGCTGTCTCACCTTCCGGAGCAGACTAGAGCGACGCTTGCTGCCCAGGATGACGCTTCGTTGGAGAACCTGGCGAAACTGGCTGATAGGGTCCATGAGGTCTTTCAACCTCATCAGACTGCAGCTATTTCGGCCTCGTCGAGTAATGTGGTCAACTCTGCGCTTCGTGATGAGCTGGAGAGTTTGAAGGCTACAGTAGCTGCGATGCAGCTGCGTGAGTCGCGTTCTCGCTCAAGAGGGCCACCCAATGGTCGCAACAATTCTCGCAGACGCTCCAATTCTCGAAAGGTATTAAACAACTCTAACGCTTGCTGGTACCATTTCAGATTTGGTGACAGGGCACGAAAGTGCCTTCCGGGTTGTCAGTACCAGGGAAACTCCAGGGAGAGTTGTTAGCGACGGAATGCAGCTCTTTATTAACATCCCGTCGCCTCTTTGTCACCGATAGGTCCACCAAGGCACAGTACCTAGTGGATACCGGTTCCGACGTTTCAGTGTGTCCTCGCCGGGCGCACTCTCGGAAAAAGGACGGGTCTGGTTATCAGCTGTTCGCAGCCAACAACACTCTGATCAATACTTATGGCTACATTCCGATCCTGCTCGATCTTGGCCTACGCAAGGAAATCAAGTGGCGTTTTATTGAAGCTGACGTTTCGAGGTATATTATTGGCGCTGACCTGCTGCATCATTACGGTCTTCTGCCTGACCTCAAGAATCAACGACTTATTGATAGCACCACTGGTCTCTCAACAGATGGACAGCTGGTTAAATTCGAGTCGTTCTCAGTCAGACTCCAGACGATTGAAGAGGATTCATCTTACGTAGCCCTACTGAAGAAGTTCCCTGCCATAACGAAGCCGGAGGGACTCCTTCGAAACACCAAGCATATGACGCAACACCACATTAGGACTACTCCCGGCCCACCAGTATCGGCCAGACCAAGACGTTTGCTACCAAATAAGCTGGCTATAGCAAAGGCTGAGTTTTCGAATATGCAGAAGCTCGGCATCGCTAGGCGCGGTCAAGGACCATGGTCTTCGCCTCTTCATTTGACTCCTAAGAAAAATAGAGAATGGAGACCGTGTGGTGATTACCGGGGCCTGAATGATCGGACGATCCCGGATAAGTATCCCGTTCGCTATCTTGAGGATTTCGTCGCAAATCTTTACGGATCCACGATATTTTCGACTATCGATCTCGTGAAGGTGTTTAATCAAGTTCCGGTAGCAGCTGAAGACATCCAGAAAGCGGCCATAATAACTCCTTTTGGGCTATTCGAGTTCCCGTTCATGACTTTCGGTCTGCGCAACGCTGCTCAGACGCTTCAGCGTTTAATCAATGAAGTCACAAGGGATCTGCCGTTTCTATTTCCGTATATCGATGATATTCTCGTCGCCTCTGAGACACCTGAGCAACATCTAGATCATCTGAGGCAACTGTTCCAACGTTTGGAGGATTTCGGTCTGGTGGTAAATGTAGCGAAGTCTGTCCTTGGCAAACCGGAGGTGGTTTTCCTTGGGCATACCATCAACGCACAGGGGATCAAGCCCCCTGCGGACCNCCTCTCAACGCAGCACACAGGGGACCTGCCGTTAAAGGAAAGCATCCGGTGAATTGGACACCGGAGATGGAGGCTGCTTTCGATGCAAGCAAAAGGGCACTGGCTGAAGCCACTCATCTGTCACATCCAAACGTGCACGCTGAGTGGGCTGTGTTCACCGACGCATCGGATCACGCAATTGGCGCCGTCCTTCAATAACGACATCAGGATGGTTGGCAGCCACTCCCCTTCTTCAGCAAGAAGCTTGCTCTCTCCGAATGTCATCATGCGACTTACGATCGAGAGTTAGAAGCGATTTACGAGGCGATCATCCATTTTCGGCACATTTTCGAGAGAAAACATATTACGATCTACACGGATCACAAACCCTTGACGCATGCTTTCCATCAGAAACCGGATAAGGCAACAGTGTAGAAGACTGGATTTCATTGGCCAGTTTACCTCTGATATCGTACACGTAGCTGGCGATGATAACGTGGTAGCTGACGCTTTGTCTCGTATCGAGGCAGTGTCCCAGGCGATCGACAATCAACAACTCGCTCAATCACAGCGAGAAGATCTTGAACTTCGTCAGCTGCTTGAAGGTAACAATAACAACAGTCTTAATTTACAGCTACTCCGCTTCCCAGGTTCGGACATTAGATTGTACTGAGACGTCTCAGCGTCGGGCACGATTCGTCCGTATGTGCCGGGGCCTTTAAGGAGGCAAGTTTTTCTCTCCATGCATTCGCTCGCGCACCCCGGAGGGAAAGGAACTCGGAAGCTTATCGCCGATCGTTTCGTTTGGCCAGGTATGAGTAAGGACTGTTTGGATTGGACTCGTCATTGCCTGTCGTGTCAGAAAAATAAAGTATCGAGGCATGTCGCAGCACCTCTCGCTGAGTTTGCTTTACCGTCCCAAAGATTCGAGCATATTCATGTCGACTTGGTTATTTCACCGTTGTCGAAAGGGTTCAAGGACTGTCTCACAATTATAGACAGGTTTACACGGTATCCAGAGGTGGTGCCACTACCGGACATCAGGACAGAAACAGTAGTTCGTGCACTTCTCTATCACTGGATCGCCAGGTTTGGAGTACCTCTCAGGATCACATCAGACAGAGGAGGCCAGTTTATCGCGGACATTTACCGACGTCTGACAGAGATGTTGGGCATTCGACGCAAGCTTACTACGCCAATTCATCCCCAGGCTAACGGACTCGTGGAGAGACTGCATCGCCAGTTGAAAGCTGCACTTCTCTGCCACGGCGATAGCTGGTATGATGTTTTGCCGTTGGTTTTGTTAGCACTCCGCACCGCTTGGAAACCTGATGTTGAAAGCACACCTGCTGAGTTCACCTAGGGAGAAGCAATTCGGCTTCCAGGTGAATTGTTTACACCAACGAACGATCGAGCAGCTCCGGAGGTTTTGCGGGATCTCCGTAGACATTTCGCGGCGGTAGCACCCACTGAGATGTCTCGTCACGGAACCAAGCCAACTTTCGTCCACAAGAGCCTTGCCGATTGCACGCATGTCTTCATCAGGACAGAGACTGGAGGACCGATTACCGCAGCTCCATACTCTGGACCATATCGCGTCGTCAGCAGGCACGATAGACATTTTGTTGTCCACTGTAGGTCACTAGGGAGAGGCAACTATCTTCAAGACGTTCCTATCTCTATCGACCGCCTCAAACCAGCGTTCATTCTTCCCGAGGAGATGGAACAGGTTCGGCAGCTTCCTGCAGAAGCTTGTCCACGATATCAATCGCGGCAACAACAGCAAGCAACAGCAGGCACGGCGGTAGGAACCTCTGGCCAGCCCAGGAGGGTCACTTTTAACGACCGATTGGAAACACGGACTTACGACCCCAGGCAACCTCCGGACTCGAGCATTACGACGCCCGGGAGACAGCAGAGAATTTCCACGCTATCCTGTCGTTGAGCAAATTTAATTTTTTTGTTTTTGTTTCAATTCTCTAAAAAACTACGTTTTTCTCCCAGCAGGGGAGACATGTAGCGCCTCGCTACATCCTAACTGAGGAGACAGTCTGACGTCCACCTCAGGCATTTAGTATTTCGTTGCTGTCCTCTCACGGATACACCAACACAATAATAGAGGATTACATTTCGCGCCTCTACCGAATTATTTTATCACGGCGTCCTATCGCACAGGAGCCATTGGCAGTTGATCGGCATCCATTGTATCGAGCGCAACTGAGCATCAAATCAATATTCATTGTACTTGTTGAGACGGACGCTTCGGCGAATAAATATATTATTAAATTGTTTATTCGTTTAGTAGTGATTTGTTACTCCCGACCATCGCTAATCCTACAATACGACATTTTCCACCAATTAAAAATGGACTCGTCGGAGCCAATGTGACAAGTGACCCCAAAATTCATATAAAAATGTCAGAAAAACCAAAACTAAGCAGTCTTGAAGCAGCGACGGAGCAGTAACAATTCTGGTGGAAATAGTTCATTTAATCGGTTCGGTTTTTCAATCCTTCCTTCGATTACGCGGGATATAACTGAATTAATAGTAAGTTACGAACAATTGAAGTTATCCGGGAATGAAATTTCTTTCATCGAGAGTGGTGACTTTTCTTACAAATAAGGAATTCGTCCATTGTGACGCGTTGTAGACAGTCGCAAACAAACTCTTAAACTCTTGGAATTCAACTGTCTAAATTTAGTAAAATATCAACGAGTAGAAGAAAGTGTTTCCGTGAAAGTATCCATAATAGCCTTTAGCACGACTAATTGCTGGTGAGAAAATTACGGATTTACCCACGGATCTACAATCAAATCGATTAATTTATCAAAAACAGACATAATTGTGAGTAACAAAATTTGTAAACCCAAATTTGAATCCTGCAGATCATTCCAGAGGTAGGAATTTTAACTACATAGATTTCCGTAAAATCACGCTTATGTTTTTGTAAACCGCATAGTTATTCAAAATATATTTAAATTCAAATTTGATTCCCATTACAACTCCAAATTTTCTGATTAGTAATTAGTCTCAACTCAAACCCTATCCCTAAATCAAACCCTTTTCCTTTATATTTTAGAAAAAGGTAAGAGGATAAAACTTTGCGTCATCCAATAATTATAAAATCTAATAATTTTAGCTTTGATTTTAATGTGACAATTAAAACATGTCCTTTCGACGCTAAAATCTTTCTCCGGACATAACATCCCGAAGGAAACTGATGAAAATTTTAGGAGTATTATGTCCGGAGACGTTGCTAAGCATCAGAGGCAACGTGGAATTTTTGTAGATTTAATTTCCAAACCAACAAATTGAATTCTAACAAAGTGAAGAGTTTTCAGTTCATATTCACTTTGAGTTTTATTTTCATTCTTTTTTTTTGGGACGACGCTAAATTTACTTACCTCTTGCTTGACTTTTATCAATAATTTTGTTTAATCAATAATGTAATTTAGTGTACAAAGGTTATCAGGGTTTATTGCGGGATTTTATCGGATTGGGATTATTTCGAAAGGATTGCCAAAAATTATAAGAACACCGAACTACTGAAATCCTGCTTTCGATTTATTACAAGTGAAAATTAATTATACATAATTAAGATACAATAGCTTTTACTCTCTTTATAATTCCACTCTAACTTCAACTGAATTCGATTTGATCTTAAATTTTATAAAAGGATTGCATTTAATTACTAGAAGAAGAAGAATAAATATAATAATAGAATAATTTAATTACTAAATCTGGAAAATTTCTAAGTTCGATAGGTACTAATATTTTTGAATATTTTTGTGGATTCTTCGACTTACTACTTGTCGAACACTCAACTCTTTGATCAGCTAATCCAGCAGTTGCTGTGACGCCTAATGGTCCTCCAGGTTCTACGAGTTTTCGTAGTTTTCTTCTTCCAATTTGCACTGTTAACTATTCTTTCGATTTACTAAATTTCTAAAGTTCACAAATCAATGTTCACTAATTAACGATTTGAAAAAAGGTATTATAGGGAGTTCGTTTCCAAAATAAATCACGACAAAACACTAATTTCGGTTTAAGGCTACGGCTTGCCCAGTCAGTTTTTCACTATATCACCTTTTTCACATAAGTTGCCAAAAAAGAAAGTCTATTTTTCTAGTGGGGTGAAAACTGAGAGACCAATTTCACGGATTGAAGTTTTTCGATTTTTATCAAAGGTGGAGAATGACGGGCTTCTTCCTAGTTTTTAGAAGGCAGTTTGATTCTGTTTTTTTTTTTTAATTTTTAGAGGGGTACCTAATAATTGTGGGTTAAGCATTTGTGCGACCGGTCGACGACCGAAGGTTGATTCTTTTTCTTTTCGATGGCTCTGCGTGGAAGATTTTTGATGTTGCCATGAGGCGATAAGTTTAACGATTGCGCTGATGCATTTATTTCGACATCGAACGGTTTCGGAAAGAAATTGCGAAATGTCGTACTTTTCAACTTTATCGAGGGTGGAATGACCCGTGTGTATTCCGGGGAGTTTATAGAACTCTTGAAATAACATTTTCTTCCTTGATTGAGTTAAAAATATATTTTGGGAAAATCTGAAAATTATTCTGGACATAACAAGGAGGTACCTACCTTGGAGGGTCGTGGACATTTTCCAAGCTTCAAAATCCAGTATGAAAAAATTGGCAAAAAAAAGTGGAGGAAGAGAGGGAAAAGTTGCGAGTCAGGCGCTAGGCTCATACGGCGAACACGTGTTGTCTGATTGTAGGAATGTCCGGGCAATAAAAATACCAGGCAAAAATCAGCCTTTCAGGTATGAAGATGAAACGAAAAGGGTAACAAAGCATCACAAATTATAAACATCAAGCCTATGGGGAAAAACACCATAAATAAAAATTATTTTTGCAGTATTTATTCAATAGTTATGACGGTGTGGAAATTTTTATTCACACGTCGACTCAATGTGATATTCAATGTCAATATATTCCAACCAATTTGGGAAATAGTTATTGGTGAATAATGACAAATTTATTTGTTTGAAAAATGTTCAATAAAATAGGAGATATCTTAATTATCCCTGGAACTTCAATTCCCTCTTCCATCTCAAGTGCATCGACTATACCTGCGTATAATAGGGATTATACACGTTTAAACGATGATATCTCATTGATTTATAACAATTGAATAACAATTGAAGTAAATCAAACGTCACTCTACTCGCTGTTAATTGTGCAACGATTTCCGTTTCAATTTTCTCAAAGGCGACCGCTTTTGTGAATGTCAAAGACCCTCAAACCTACGGAGGCGGCCTCCATGGTATTCGGTTCAAATGGTGCACCCGCTGGACGTGTTAAAATATCGATATCTTGTTAGTTTATGAAGATATTTCAAAAAAATAAACACCGTTGTCTGTGTTTCTTATTGCAAAATCGTTTTGTAATGAGCATTTTCAAGTGTGACGTCATTTTTATGATGTTAATAGTGCCGAAACGTCCAGTGGTGAGCCTACTGGCGGGGGATTTCAATGAGAGCGCGGCGTGTTGAATTGCAAAATTCATATAAAAAAAACTATTTGGAATATTTGAAAAAATCAAACGCCATTGGATTCGTTGTGAATCCTAGCTCATTTTTTGTTTGTTTTTTTTCACGTGTAACCCAAAATGGCCGCGAGAGAGCCATTTAAACATTTAAATTGTTACTAATAATGCTTTTGCGATAAAATTTCGCCGGCACACCAAGAAATTCGAATTCTGCACCTCAAAAACTATTAAAAAAATCTTGTTTCAAGAATTCCTCTCAAAATACATACTAAACCCCCTTCAGCGTATGGACTATAAGCGAAGCGATACATACTCTTTCTAATTGCTCTGCGGCAGTGCTCCCTCCAACCAGAGGGTGAGCTCTACTGCAATCCAGAATCATGCTGCCTAAGTAGACGTAGGGACCCAAGAATCACAGCCTTCTGCATCTGGCCAGTCAATATAGAGGCATTACGTCTACGCGCTGGGATCACTTCAAGCGCGGATACGATGGACTGCTTCATTCCGCCGAGAGAACCAATAATGAGGGTAATCAGCTTGACCTTGAATCTTCGGTTCAGCTGACGTGGCTCAAACAAGAGGGGCTGGTATTTGGGCTGTTTCTCCTCTCCCTTTATGGATATATTGCTCTCGGCTGGAGCCGAGAACTCAATGACATAGATGATTTTCTCGTCGAAATCGAAGAGGACGGTGTCAGGCTTCGTCGCAGCGATAGGCCTGGTGGTCGCAAATGAGAAGTTCCAGTAAATCTTACACCTCTCATTCACGATGACGGACTCAATATCTCCTGGAGCATAAGGCAGCACCGGCGTCCTGTATATACCATAAGAGTGCCGCAAGTGCTAATACAGCACTCTCA